TGGCTGTCTCCAGGCAGGCCATATAAAGGTGTACATGGGGTGGGACTTCCTCATGCTCCCACCAATGCATCCCAAGCCCCTTCAGTCACTGACCTCCCAGCCTATGGGCTGTCATCTCTTCACCCTCTCCAGCCTGCCATCCTCACTCCAAGTTTTTAAAGCCTCTCCCAGACCCTCCTCCTCAGGGTTAGGGTCCATCCCATATTTCCCCAGGCTGTTCCCGGCCCACTGGGCCTTCCATCTACTCCAGGGAGTTCCCAGAGGTTGCCCTCCCTTCCCCCAGTCTCCTGCTGCTCATGCAGGGCCAGTAGGGTTGCCAGGTCTCACCTTTCCTGTGGCGGGGGGCTCCTGGCCCCTCGCCGGGACTCTTCTGCCATGCACGCAAAGTTCCACCAGTGGTGGAACCACAGGAGGCCACCTGGCACCGCCATGGCAGGCTCACTAGGCTCCTCAGAATGAGGCAAGTGAGGGGGTGAGAGGGACAGTGCTGAAGTACCTTGGCCTCTGGCCTGTAGGGTCCCACAGGGTTCCATCTTGTCCCCTGTGCTTTTCAACACCTACATGAAACCATGGAGTGAGGTCATACAGAGGTTTGGGCTGGATTGTCACCAATATGCTGATGATACTCAGCTCTATCTTGCACTTCCAGCTGATCCCAAGGAGACTCTAGAAACCTTGAACCGGTGCCCAGAGGCACTTTTGGAGTACATGTCAGGAGCAATGTTCCCTTTAAGCTGTGGAGTTGTTGTGAGCAAAAATTCTACTTCATGAGCCAACATGAATACTCTGAAAGACACTGTATTATTCATGTCCCGCATCTCAGCCATGACATTAGACAACTGGTTTCAGTGCCTATACGCCATTTCACACATCACTAGATAGAAGTCACTTCTGTATAGGAATTAGATTTAAATCCCTACTCTGCTGTGCAAGTTCACAGGTGGCCTTGCGCCGGTCACTCTTTCTTTAGGCTAACCTACCTTACAGGGTTGTTGTGAGGATAAAATGGAGGAGGAAAAAATTATCTTGAAAGCCACACTGGGCTCCCATTGGAGAGAAAAGTGGCATATAAATAAAATGGCATTCTTCATCTTCTCTTTCTATAAAGGAATGGCAGTGTATTTCAAAAAGATGCACCAATATCTGAATTGATAGTATGCATTCAAATTAAAGAAAAAAGCCAAGATGTCCTGACCTTTTCCCGTAGTTTTTTTTTTTTTATTAACTTTGTTAAACTACTTCATATTGTAATTTCATAATTCTGACAAGCTTGCAAGTTCCTAAAATTCATTATTAAAAACTGGGAGAGAACCCTCTTGACATTTAAATCAATGGAGAATAAAACTGTTCATTTAAAACACTCATCTGCCACTTTTCCTGAATGCACCAGGCAGATTACGGAACAACCAAAAAGTTGCTCTGGAAAACGCTCAGCAAGTCTGCTTTAGGGAAGAAAGATTCAGGTGGGTAGCAAGGTTCCCTCTAAGCTGCGGAGTCTGGTGAGCAAAAATTCTACTTTATGAGCTGCTGGCATTAAAGTTGTGAGCGAGCGATTTGGCTGCTACATAACTTAGTTTGCTCTGGAGCCATTCTTCCTGAGCGGAGACAAAAATGTGTGAGCCGGAGGCTAAGAAACTATGAGCTAGCTCACACTAACTCAGCTTAGAGGGAACACTGGTGGGTAGCCGTGTTGGTCTGAAGCAATAGAAAAAAGTTTGAGTCCAGTTGGACCTTTAAGACCAACAAAGATTCATATCACTTCAGTGCAATGTGGGGTAGTAGTTAGAATGCTAGATTAGGATCTAGGAGACCCAGCTTTAGTTGACAACCAAACTTGAAATGATTGGTGATGTTTCCTGTTTATTCGGGCATCCAAAAATCCTAGCAGTACACTTGCTGGGTTATATGTGAGATCTTTTTGGGTAATTAATTTACACATTACTTGTCCCCTCCCCCATTCTGATCATGGGACAGACTCATCACACTTGTATGTATACCCTTTCCACACCACCAACAAGGATCTCCCTTATAAATAAAAGCTGAATGGTGGTGGCACTTCTCTAGAACATTCCACACGCTCCAAAATCTGTTCGCTCTCTCATCTGTCATTCAGATGGTCTCCCTATCCACTGGCTGCTTTGCCTGAGTCCTGCCTCCAACATTCTAAACATTTTGCTGTTCCTCCCCCCCCCATAGCCAGTCATAACGCAGAGGTTATTTGCATATGCAGCCTCATTGGCCTTTGCCTCGGAACACAGAGGTCGTTTGCATATGCGACTTGATTGGCTTTTGCCTCTAACATTCTAAACAGTTTGCTGCTCTGAGGTAAAATGTGTCCAATCTCCAGGTGAGGGCTGGAGATCACTCAGAATTACAACTGCTTTCCAGATGGCAGAGATCAGTTCCCCTGGAGAAAATGGTGGGCTCTGTATCCTTATATGCTGCTGAGGTGGCCCCCATATGACAGCCAATATGACATAGCAGTCAGGGCTTCAGAGCATGGGAGAGGCTGCAGGTGTGTGGGGGAGGGGGGAATAAAGGTAGGTTGATGATTGGCTGGGAAGGAGATAGGGTTGCCAACTCCAGGTGGGAAATTCCTGGAGATGTGAGGGATGGAGCCTGGAGAGGGTGAGGTTTCAGGAGGCGTGGGACCTCGGACAGGTACAACGCTATAGACTCCACCCTCCAAACCAACTATTCCCTTCTGGGGAACCATCGTTGCCAATCTCCAGGTGAGGGCTGGAGTTCACTCAAAATTACAACTGTTCTTTAGGTAGCAGAGATCAGTTCCTCTGGAGAAAATGGTGGACTCAGTGTCATTATACCCTGCTGAGGTCGCCACAGCAAATTGACACTGAGTGTCCAAGGCCAGGGCACCCACCCAAAGCCTCTTTCTAGAGGCCGTTGTATTTATTTCCACAACGGACCTTTTTCCTAGTCTTATATAAAACTCTGGATCTTAGAAGGCATCACATACCAATTATACATAATTCTGTAATGATTTTTTAAAATACCTTATAGAGTGAAATGTGCAGGATCTCTTATAAACAAAATTATTTTACCAGACATCAAAGGTATTATAGTGCTAGCCATGCTGTCCCATTGCATCTAAAGGTGTTCCTTTGATGTTCCGTCAGCATGAATGCCAAGAAAGATTTGGTTAAAGATAGATTTGAGTAGCATGATTGTCTTATAATCTGTTACCAACCATTTAAAATATATGTCAGCACTGTACCAAAATGTTAGGAGTTCAAGAAGGTGTGTGTGGGGGGGGGACAAAGAGATGAAGGGGGATTTTCTGAGCCTAAACCAGAGGTCATTTCGGGGGGGATCGGCTGCCCCGCTTCCGGCCCTCATTTAGCCAGGAGGAGGCAGGGGAAGAGGGAGGGTAAGTTGCTTCCTCCCTGCCTCTCCCCACCCCTGCCTGCCTGGGGCTAGGGAGGGCCTTCGCGGGGTTTCCTTGCACTCCCGCCGGCCTTGCAGGTCCACCGCCGGGCCCCTCATGGGGCTCGGCAGTGGAGCTGCAAGGCCACCGCCAGCAGCCGGGACCATTAGGGGCCGGGTGTGTGGCCTTATGACACACTTCTGGTGATGTCAGGGGGTGTGGCCTTATGACACACTTCCGGTGATGTCAGGGGGTGTGGCATATGCTAATGAGTTATGCTAATGAGTTCCCCTAGCTCTTTTTCTACGAAATGACCCCTGGCCTAAACCATGCACTCGTCGTCATACAATGGCACCTGATGGCTACAAGAGAGGGTGGCACACCCACTCAGTGGCTTCTTGGGTGGGCACTTAAGAAAGGTATGAAAGTTTGGTTTTTCACCATCCTCTGCCCTCCTGCCTTGAGGTCCACCACGGACCTTACTGAGCTGCCGCGTACCACCAGAGCAAAAGGAGCAGAAGAGGGGGAGCTACCACCTGCCAGGTCTCCACTTGGAACGGGTGCCCCGGGCTGCTCAGTTCACCATGCCCCACGTCTCCTGCACAGACAGCAACCGAAAGGCATCCAGAGCCGGCACAACTGAACCAGGCAAGCCAGCTGCCTCACGTTGCCCTCCCATGTGGCAGCAGAGAGCAGGAGCAAGGTGCACTTCCAGCCCCTTCCCCTTCCTCTCCCTTCCCCGCCCACCAAGCAATGCCGCTCTCTCCCACTGCTCCCAGTGGGTGCAACCACTTCCAGGTCCACTGGCTGCTTGGCTACCCCAGTTGCAGCTGCCCCCTCCCCGCCTCCTGTGAGCCCGAGTCTCCTTGGTAGCATTGGACTGCCAGGCGTCCCTTGTGGAGCTTTGACTACTCCAGCCACTTCTCCAAACAAGAATAACAGCCCTGGGTGGGCCAGTTCGTCATCCTGCACTTAGTCAAAAAGCTGTGCGCTAAGGGCTAAAAACTAGAGTGTCAGCGTACAGCAGTGCACCTTAGCGGGGACATTGGTCGGGAGTACCTTTACCAGCCTCAACTGCTTAGTCAGCTCCAGCCTTTCCTGATCCGAAAAGATCTGGTTACATCAATATTAAGTTACTGCAACATGCTCTACATGGGGCTGCTGTTGAAAAGTGTTTGGAAACTTTATTTGGTACAGATCTCTCCAGTCTTGGCCCATTTGTGCTTGCTCCCAGTCGGTTTCCAGGCACAATTCAAGGTGCTGGTGTTGACCTTGAAAGCCCTGAGCATCTTGGGAATGCATTCTCTCATACAAACCTATCTGACCACTAAGGTAATATTCAGAGGCCCTGCTTGAGAGCTGCCCTTCTAAGTTTAGGCAGGCGCCAACCCGAAAAAGAGCCTTCTTAGTTGTGGCACCCTTTTGTCACTGCAGTCCACCAGCAAGTGGAGACTTCTTTTAATTCGTCTGATTTTGATTCATCTGATTCATCTCAATGATCCCCCCTTCCTGCCCTATGTTTTCATTACTGCATATCTGTGCTTTTACATTTGGATTTTAGTTTTGGTTTTATGATATTTTTTATAATGTGCAAAATTTAACTGCATATACTCACAAAGTCTGGGTGCCCTGTGGTAGGTTGGGGATGAAATGGATCTCTGTGCAGGTGATCTTGAAGTGGTCCCAATCAGAGCAGTCACAAAGTGATGGACACACATCCATGCCTCTAGTCATCATTCCCATTTTGAACAGCAGGAGCAGCTGAAGGAATTCTGGCAACCGCAGCATCTTTCTGAGCCTACAGTTGCGGTGGCTTCATCTCCTTCTGTGATCCTTCCCCATACAGGGACCAAAGGTAACCTCTGAGGAGGGAACACAGGAACGCCCGTGTCTCTTCAGAAAATAATCTCTATTTCCTCCTCTCTGAAGGGAAACATAAAGGGTATAATGAGTAAAAGTGCAAAGACATTAATCCAGGCACACAACCCTACTTCCGGTTAGCGTACTCCAAGTTAGCTCTAGTGAGTATCATCCTAAGCATTTCCTTCATCATCTCCTGCAGCACCTTTAGGACTGGCTCCATAAACCACCTTCCATCCCAGGGAGATATACAAAGCTCTGTAGATTATTGTACTTCTATAAACTTCCTACAATGTGCCCACACTCACTTTCCCATCCACAGTTTTCTTGTAAACTGATTCTCCAGAGATGCTGAACTGCACACCTCCAGGGACTGTCATTTACAGGCTGCCTCCTTGGTGCGGGGGGGGGGGGAACAGTGGGAGAGCTTCTAGGCTCCTGGCCCCACTGCTGGACCTCCTGATGGCACCCGGTATTTTTGGCCACTGTGTGGACTGGATGGGCCATTGGCCTGATCCAGCATTGGCTTCTCTTATGTTCTTATACTATTGCCACTCACAAATCAACTTCCCTTAAAAATGGACACCTAGAACAAAAAGCCCGGTGAAATGAAAAGTGGTGGGGGTGAGCTCTGCACCTGACTTTCCATTATTTATTATTAATATTTATTTGCATAACAAGCACCTCTTAAAGCAGCGTTTAGTTATACTGACTGTATGCTAAGCCTCGGAAATCAGAGAAAAGGTAACCTATAAATAGCGCACAACTATGCCTGAATGAGAATGTTCGCAAATTACAGGAATGTTAAGGAAGGGAGACACAGAATGGACAGGTTTAGTCTGGAAGTTTAATTGATCTATTTAGTTCAGTTACAGGGATCTGCACATAGGTGTTACCAGAGGAAATGTTTCAAATGTGAGGAATGTCCAGTACATGTTTTAACAACATAATTATTAAAGATAAGTATATTAAATAGGCAAAACATTGACAGGATCATCCTAAAACTTTTGCATTATCTCACAACCCGACTCCCCTAAGCAGTAAATCTTAGAGGTATGTGCCCCTCAGGACAGTCCCGCCTATCCCTTTACCATGGTTGCCAACCCCCAGGTGGAGCCCGGAGATCTCCTGGAATTACAACTGATCTCCAGAGGATAAAGATCAGTTCCTCTGGAGAAAATGGCTGTGCTGGAGGGTGGACACTATGTCACTATCCCTCAGTGAGATCCCTCCCCTCCCCAAACCTCACTCCTCCAGACTCCATTCCCCAATCTCCATGAATTTCCCACCTTCGAATTGGCTACCCCAACCTCTCCCCATTGTACATCATCTCCCAGTCCTTTGTACATTGTACATCATCTCCCCGCTCCCTTTACCACCCCATTGAACTGAGAGGCTCCAGTTGACATCCCCGTCTGCCATGAACCAGGTTGGCTAACCGTGGCCCAGTTGAATGTTGTGAAAATAAAACGGGGGAAGAGAGAACCATACAGGCTGTCCTGAGAGACCGCAAAAGTTAAATCACAGGATAGTCTCCGTAACAGACTCCTTCTCTTTTTTGTTCTTTGCTTTGGGTAGCGATTCTGGGAGGCTTTAAAAAACGGCGTGATAGGAAGAAATTCAACCGGTGTATCCCCCCGGGAAGATGCAGTAAAATGTGTCCGGCTGACAATTCACCTGCTGTGGCGTTGGGGACGGTTTCACCTGCTTGCCCCCTGCTGTTAAGGGCGCCTGCCCCTGCCATGGGAATACCAGTGGCTCGTAGGAGGCTGCAGCAGCCCCCCTCTCCCACCCGCGGTCTTCCCACCCGCACCTGCAGCAGCAGCGCCGCTTCTCACCGGGCGTCAAAGTTCTGCAGGAGTCGCCGCCGGTACAGCGGACTCTTCCGCCCTGTTCTTCTCCACGTTGGGATGAGAAGCAGGCGAGAGGCTGCAAAGTCGCATCAGACTCTACAGGCTACACCATCCCCTTCGCTCACTGCAAGGCGGCGCTGGGACATTTGCAAAAAGTCCGCTACTCCCAGCCGATCCCGCCCATCTCGGACTCTCGTGCTGGCTCTCGGTCACCATCTAGTGGCGACTATCGAGAACGATCGAAGCAGAAACTCCGTCGCGGGAAACGTGGGCGCGGCTCCGAAGGAGGAGAGGGGAATCACCACTCCAGAAGCGCCACTGCAAGAGCGTTCGTCGGAGGCTTTTGATAGGGAAAATAGTAATATGTGTGACTGGTAATTGTGGCTACTGAGTGGTGAAGTAAACAAACTGCACATGTTCAGTCGGGCTCTTGATCCAGTATGGCAGATAGAGGGCCAGACAAATTCAGCCCCTCTGGTTTGCCTAGGGTTGCCCAGAATTACAGCTAATCTCCAGACTACAGAAATCAGTGCCCCTGGAGGAAACTGATGCTTTGGAGGGTGAAATCTATGGCATTGTACCATGCTGAGGCCCCTCCCCTCCCCAAACCCCTCCCTCTCCTGGATCCACCCCCAAAGTCTCCCAGTATTTTCCAACCCAGACCTGGCAACCCTAGCTGTGGCTCAGTGACAGAGCATCTGCTTGGCATGCTGAAGCCCCCAGGTTCAATCCCCAGCATCTCCATGTAAAAGAACCAGGTGATGTGAAAGACCCTCTGCCTGAGACCCTGGAGAGCCTCTTGTCAGTCTGATTAGACAGTACTGACCCTGACAGACCAAGGGTCTTATTCAGTATAAGGCAACTTCATGTGTTTTCATGTAGTGTAATGGAAGGACCAAGACAGTACTTCCTACTATTAATTGTACATGTTAAAAATGTTCATGAATGAGAGCTGAGAATCCTAGTAGCAGAGTTAAAACAGCAGCAGATCACTTATACCGTTTAAAATTAAAAATCTCCCCCGCCCCACATATTATTGAATCTCTCACTGTTCCTGGATTATGAGCTCTAAGATCAGACATCATCAAAGAAAATGCCCTGTTTGTTCACTTGAAGCATGCTGAAGCCATTGGAGTTCCACAAATGAAAAATAAGTGGCTTTTGAATACAAAGCTTAAAGGCCAGATTCAACTTTTTAAAATGTATTTTTATTTATTTAATTATACCTTGCTTTTCTACTCATTGGGAACCCAAAGCTGCTAATTGCGTCATTCTTCCCTCCTGCATTTTATCTTCACAACAACCCTGTGAAGTAGGTTAGGCAGAGAGAGGGTGAGTGAGTGAGTGAGTGGCAGAAGGTCACCCAGCAAGCTTCCATGGTGGAGTGGGGATTTGAACCTTGGTCTCCCAGATCCTAGTTCAGGAGTCCAGCCACTACACCATGCTGGCTCTCTACATTCTGCTATGTGGCAGCAGAGAGACAGAATTAGCGCCCCCCCCCCCCGCCATAAGTGAAGTTTCCAAAAGCCCCAGAACAGCACCCAAAGGTCTATAATAACAGCTACATAGCCTAATGCTGAAGCAAATCTGCATCAGCCAAAAGGTTTGAGAGGCATATCTATGTTATTTGTGTCAAACAGATTGAAAATGTGTACAAGTCTATGGTTCTGAGAAACTTTGTAAGAAATGTTCCCCTGTTTCCAAAGGGGCATAAGAATGCAATTTGGACCATAAAAGATCTTACACTAACTTTAGTGGGGCTCAGATTTCACCACAAATATGTGCTTTTTAATTGTCATTTTTAAAGTTCCATAGTATTAATCTAAAAGCTTTTGTCTCCCCTCCCCAAGCAAATAACTTTTATTATTATCATATGTCAGCTATACCACCACAGCACCTTTTCATAAATGCTGTGCTAAGAACAGGTTGATCCTGATCTAAGCTGTGCTTGTGGTGAAACCTAAGCTGCTGAGCAGTTTATCCTGCAAGTCTGAGATCTGAGATGGAAACAAAATGTGCTCAGACCATTGCTGCTCACAACTTTTCAGGGCAAAGGGGCTTATTACAGTATTGAACAATTATACCCCCAGAATGTACTTTCCCGAAGAGTTCTACTTGCGCAATAATTGAGAGCCTTGTCATTCCAGATGGCTTAGTCTGTAGCAGCCAAATAAAGCAGCAGTCGAGGATACACACCTTCCTGTTCCCCCTTTGAGTCACAGAAGAGTCTATGGCAGGCCTGTAGCTACCGCAGGGCCCATGGGGCCCGTCTCCCCACGGTTTTTATGGGCCCCTCCCCCAATTTTCAGCTCCCCCTCCCTCACCCGCTCACCCCCCCTTTTTTTGTTCTCCCATTGACTCAAAAGGGTGCAGGTAGCAGTGGGACTTTGATTGCTACTATTTGGCTTCCTCCTCCGGCTGATTTCTCCTTTCTTTCTGGGCTGGTGCAGCAGCTGCTCTCCAGACCAGCTACGAGGTCTCTGCAGGAAGAGAAAGGGCGGCGAGTAGCTTTGCCTTGCCTCGCTTTGTATGCAGCTATGGAACTTCCATGTAGGGACCCGAGAAGGAGTCGGAAAGCCACAGTAAGGTGTCCGCGCTGCGGAAGGTCACAATGCTGGCATATATCTTGTCGCAATCTGACCGGAGAGAGGAAAGGGCTTTGCTTGAAGCTGGGGCGGGGCCGCGACTGCCTGCCTGTCAAGTGAAAATGAAGACAGGGGACTGACACCGAGAAAACCAGCGTGGTGCCCGGGAAGGAGTCCAGGTCGCAGGACTGTGGGGAGAGGAGGCAGCCGGTTCACAAGCAGCCCTTCCATGGCCCTTTGCTCCCCCCCTCCTGCAGCCACTGCCCAGAGAGGTCTGCCCACCGCCCCCCAGCCCCCCTGGGATCGTGCCAGAAACAGGCCCCCCAAGAAAAACACTGGCCCCTGAGCAAAAAGTTGTTAGCTACGGGGCTGGTCTATTTCCATGGTCGCATGAGCACTTTGTGCCAATATCATTGTGGTACCTTTGCGAATGTAAAGAGAACGATCAGATAACAACATCTGCCTTCTGTGCCCCTGTCGTCGGCACCCA